ATAAGATGTCGTATTGTAACTAGTGACCGGTTCTGATTTTGTTTCTTGTTATTATTCTCTGAATGTTTTGTATCTCCCATTGTTTTCTATGCATCAGCCATTTTATGACCTAGGACCAACCAAGTATGCACAAGGTCTCACAGTGGGTGCAGGGGAAATTTCTGTTTACTTGTGCATCCACTGCATTACACTATGTGCCTAACTATATTATTTTGCGGACGTATAAAATCTTTTAATTTCATTATCTTTTAGTTACTCACACCTAACTCCCCAGTTAGGCGTGAGTCCCTCATAGCCACGATGGATAGCCTATCGTGGTATGCGTAATGCATTTTCCGCCTCCCTACGTAAAGGGTAGCCCTTTTCCAATTGCTTCGGGCGCAAAAAAAAATTATCTTTTAGATCAAAACATGTGGACAAAGGACAACGTTCATTTTCCTAATTTTTGACAAAGTATAGGCCTGATTCTGTAGTTTGTGATCCAACAGTCGTACAGAGTAGAAATTACCGTCTAAGAAATTTTCGAATTTCGATCGTAATTTATTTAAAAATACAAAAAAAATAATTTAAAATTACAAGAAATTTAAAAATACTAAATGTAACAATTTATAATATAACTTTAAACAATATCTATTAAAATTTAACCAAATTAAATTAAAACCTCGTTTACAATAAGAACGTTTTATGTATGCACTTTTGGGTTTTCCAATTTTTATTGTTCTTATATAAATGTAATCCTCTAACTTTACGTCAGTCGCCTCGTCAACAGAAGACGGCATTTCCCAAAAAGGCTGAGCTATTACGAATAGATAAAATTATTTAGAATGAGTCACAAATGCAAAATTGTATTGTGTGTGTTCATATTTCTTTAACACTTTGTAGCTACTTATAATATGGTTTTATACATTTATAATATGGTTGACTACACTCTCATAGAATAACAGCATAAAATAGCGCTAAATGCTGCTGTGTTTCGTGTGGTGAGTGTAGATAACACGAGACCCTTACCAAAAACGAGGTCTCTTATCTTAGTTCTTAGGGGTGACAACGCATCTGCATTTTTATTTTTAATCGTGGATGCATGTAGAATGTATATGTCTATGGATCATAACATACACTTATTATCAGGTGGTTTGGGTGCTCGTTTGTCAGGCCCGGATGCCTTATTCTGCGAAAAAAGTAAATCGAAATATAATCGTTGGTACGCCTTAACCAAAATGACCCATAGTAACAAATACACAATAGGTATAAATATAATGTTGTTTCAGTGCCAAAAAAGATTTTTATAGCATAAGGTTACTAACGAGTAACGAGCACACAGTTCACCTAATGGTAAGTGGTTGCTGTGGCTGGCTAGTAGACATCTACATCCACTCTCAAATGAAAATCGTGTGTTTTGTTTGTGAATGAAAGCGATTATAAAACCTAAAAGGGCGGAAGAACAACATCTGCCGTGTCAGCTAGTATTATATAAATTTATTTCATATTATTATGGCTTATTTGTCGTGCGGTGGCGACGCAAGAGATGCTAGAAAACGATAAAAGATGGAGAGAAACCTTTCTGGTCCCATAATACTGTATGCCTTAGTTTTCTTACCAGGCAAATGGAAAAAAAACACTATTATAGTACTTATAATATATATTTTATTAATATTTTGCTTTTACAAAGTAATAGGTTACAACAGCTAGTGTGGTGTTTTATTTATTTCTGCTATTTGTATGTGAAAGAGTGACGATAATAGACATGGCCGTAGGGCCGAAAACGCAGCTTTACTTGAATTTCTATCAAGTATGGGGCACATTGATGCCCATGAGATAGCGCAATGACTCTGTGGGGACTCTGGGGCGTAAGCGCGTGTTTCACATTTGCTTGCCATGAAATAAATATTTTACTTTGTATTTAACAACTAAAAAAGGCGCTGTACCAATGCATAATACAACATATTCTTAATACAACAAACAATAACAAAGAAAAATCCGTTTCTACAATATTTAATATCCTTATCATATACAGGGTTATTTTGATACTTTGCATTTGCAGAGAAGATTCAGAATATATAATATAGGTAAAGAAAAATGAATTAAAAACATTCTGTCCTTTTTATCTTTTAAATTCAAAATGCCTGGTAATGCGTTATTTTAACTGATTTTACTGAGCACGCACACGAATATAAGGGTAGGTAAAAAAGGTTTTGCCCATAAATTCAATTAGGGATGATTTTAAATAAAAGGAGAATCCATATTTACTCGTATTTTCAAAAATTGCTATAACGACATATATCATTATTTATATATTTGAACTTAAGTTAATAATTTGGCTACTGTTTGCAAAAGTGCCATGGTAGCTCATATGGTTAGCGCTCGCGGTAAATTTCACTGTAGTTCACAAAAATCAAAGGGTTCGATCCCCGCCGGCACAAATGAAATTGTTAATTGCAATTTTAAGTCCTGATTTACCACGTGCTCGACGGTGAAGGAAAACGTGAGGAAACCTGCATGTCTGAAAATAAGAAAAAAAAGTATTTCGAAGACATGTGAAGTTCGTCAACACGCAGGGCAGTGCGGCGGACACTTCCTTGCTCTAAAATCCTCTCAGAAATGGGAGGAGGTCTGTGCCCAGAAGTGGGATGTATATAGGCTGTAACTTTAACTCTTTACTGTAACTTTGAAAAATAACCCTGTATAAGTTCTGTTGAAGTAATTTTATACACGCAAATGATAATATCGGAGTGTCTCGAAATGAAAAATTTTCGAGCAGTTTAAAGTTCTCGACCTATTAAGGTCGGAAAGGATCATGTAACGTCTAAATAATAAATATATATATTTGTTGCAACGATGGTTCATAATTATCTGATAGGTGGCGTTAAATTCTATAATTTAACTTAGAATAATTACCAATTTGAATAAAGACCAAAATGATACATATTACTACGTTTTTATTAAGTCACTTTCTTGTTTGTTTGTCTGTCTGTCTGTCGTTCCGCGTGGAATCTTCCTACTCAAATTTCGAGCACTTCCTGATGACCTAGAGACTTGAAATTTTGAACATAGCTCAGAATCAGATGAAAAAACATGGTATATTTTTTTTAGTACAAGGTTAAAAAAATATTTGTTTACAATAAAACATGTTGGTTTAGTGCCAAAATAGAAATTTTCAAAATCTGGACCTATTGTTGTTTACCTATTGATTAATTTTATATTTGCATATATTTTAGGAATGGGCAAAATGACGTTCGCCGTGTCAGCTAGTATGATTGAAATGAAAAAGTTTGGACAATTTGTAGAACGTCGGCCCACGACCAAAACTAAACCTAAGTGTAGCCGGCTAGTCTAAAGTTTATTTTTAATTGTATCATTAGCGTTAACATTAATGCTATTTCACAAAATATTTACTATAGCGAACAAGTGACACGTCAAATGTAAAGCTATTATGATAGAAGACCTAGTTAGAAGCTACAATAATCTCTTAAATCGGTTTGTTTGTTGTTCTTGTAATGATCTTAACACTACATTAGTGAAGTTGCCGTTTAATTTTTTCCTTTTTTTAAATTAGAAGTCAACTGCTGAGGCTTCCCTAATAGCTGTTTCATAGGGTAGAGATATTTGCTATAGTTGCCACACTTGGCAGGCGGCTTGGCACCCGTAGTTATGCTCATCTCCTAGTTTGATTCCCACGGTCGCCTCTTACGAAAGCCACGTGATGGTATGGAGTAGTGGACCGCTACAACACGATCAGACATGAATGTACCTATGTAATTTATGTGGTTTTCGTAATAAGTTATTATAAAAAAATATTTCCGCTTCAAGGCATAGAATGAAGTAGGCATGTGTGATTTTGGAGTTAGATACTGCTGTGGGTAAGTTAAGGAAACCAATTTCGAAACAGATAATTAATCAATACATAGATTTTGTGATGAAATGATGTTCGAGAATCATTAAAATAATCGGCTCCACGATTATTTTTAATGTTTGATTTCACTTCACTTCTTCACGTCGGCCAAATACTTCTCACAGTTCTACAAAGGGCTCATAAAAGGGCAATCTTTAGCTGATATTGTATAACCGCCAAGTTGCCGTATATGCAACAACAGTGCAATGTTACTTAGTCTGTACAATGTCGGCGTAATGTTGCTTAGCTTATAGGGCTCAATGTTGTTTCACGTTTATGAACTCACCGGTCCCGAGTATCAGACACTAGTTATTTGTACTAAGAGTATAAAACTTTTTAAACTAATTCGTGGCTCTTGAACTAACGTGGCTTATATAAAATAACTAAAAGTTCGTTGAATTTAAATATTTAAGGCCAGTAGTACAATTATTGGGTAGTTATTTTGTCCACTGAGTTGTTGCGTTCTATGCCATAAGTGTGGCTTTCAGCATGCGATGCCATCTCTCTATTAAAACTTTTGACTGTGGGTGAAATTAATATTCTCGTAATGTCGAACTTCTTTATTAATGACTTCCACAGTACGCAGGTATGCAGGTAGCGCTATTCCTCATGTATATAGTTAAACCCGTGCCCAATAAAACACTTAAAACACGAAAAGATTCGGAGGTAGACTAGATGACATTATCAGAGACACGAGGATGAACGCGAAAAACCAGAACACCACACCTAAACCCCAACAGAACTTACATGTTATTGTACTGATGTTGGGTACAGCTGGGATTCGAATCTAGAGTCGACTACAAGCTAACTAGGTATCCGACCACTAGACCAGAAAGGTTTACATTGCTTAATATTATTTACATTATAATTAATTCTATGAACAAATCATAACTTCGTAGATTTAGACTGCGGATCGCAATTTTGATCCCAATAAATATTAGTATGGTGTTTAACATCACACAACGTAACCCCTCTTCGTCTATGAGCCTTTGAATATGATTGCTTCAAAATCTTTGCCTTAAAACTAGGCTTATTTTCTACAAGTCTCTTTAAATTTAAGTCGTTATATACTAAGCAAACGTTTAATATGCAAAATTTTTGGTTGTTACAGACAATGAACGGAGAATCAAAGCGAATAATAGAGAGTACAATGCACAGTTTCGCTATGCGGTAAGTTAAAATGTTCATTACTTATACCTAATAAGTATATCGTAATGTACTTTATGAGCTGCAAATAGAACGCAATAAATTATAAACGATAAAACTTTTAATCTTGCAAAGTTAATAAAAGTGGTGATTTCACTTTACAAACCGTTTTACCCCTGGCTTATTATTTGTAGTTAATTCTAATTTACTTCCACGGTTATTTTGAGGTGACTACCAGAAGCAACAGTATCATTAGGGCCAAAATTATACTTTATTAGCACCCACAATAAGTCCCTAAAGAGTGAAGTGAATATAGTGTCAGTATTTTAAAGTTACTTTATACTTTTCTTATTTTTGCCTTATATTTTTTAAATTTTTTCAATTAGTTATTTTATTTCAAAACTATGTATAATAATAATAAAAAATTGCGGGTTACCAACCGCAGTTTTTCACTACTATTATTAAGTTATTTACCTGGAAGGTGCTGCTGCCCGTCTTCTGTACCAGTTTCCCTGTGACGCCTCTTTCAACACCCACAGGAATAGGGTAGTGGACTTTCTTACGACACGACTACATGGCGCAACACAAATATATATCTAAACAACAAAAAATATAAAATAATAGTGAATAACTACATGCATAACAAATATAATAACCTTTATTATGGAATTGTTAAAGGGTTAAACGAAGCGTTCATATAGCGATTTTATGAATTTCAACTAACCGTTCCCACTGATGCGTGTAGTCAGTTGCTGGTTTTTGATTTAATACATTTCTCTGAAAAAGTCGCCTAAATGCCGCTTTTACAATCGTCATATACAAGTTATCCATGAAATAAATTATAACCTGAGTGATTATTAAAGTGAAACTATTGAACTATTCTATTCATACAACTGTAATTTTTTTTAAACAATTTGATTGGTAAATCGGCCCGTAATGAGTGTGACGCGTCGTTACTACATACATAGCCATAGGTCACTAGATACTCTAAGTGGGAATACACGGTAATTTAAAACAAATCTACGAGTAGGTATTTTGTCAACGGTACTTAATTCCGAACTGCTTCGTGATACTAATCGTAATATCTTATTATATAATTTATTTCTTATAATTCCAATACTTCTATCGTCATCATCAATAGCCCCCTTAATCTACAGCTGTTCATAGGTCCCACACCAGCATTAGTAGGTTGGTGATAACTTTGCTTTAATTTCTCTGTCTGGATTTGAATGGATTTTTCACCATCAGTCGTTCGTCCGTCAATAATCAGGGTGCACCTCATGCAGGCGATTTTCCACTTGACATGTCAAGAGTCCTTATAATATCATACACATAATTTTATAACTAGATTTAAACAATAATTAAAATTTATATATTTGGAATATTGAAATACATTTTTTTAATCAACAGAACAACTACATCAAGACGTCGAAATATTCGATAATAACGTTCCTGCCATTGAATCTGCTGGAGCAGTTCCAGCGGCTCGCAAACTTTTACTTCCTGTGCCTATTGGTGTTGCAGCTGATCCCTGCTATATCTTCGTTGACGCCCATCACCACAGCAATCCCGCTTATTGGGGTACTAGCGCTTACTGCCGTTAAGGACGCCTACGACGATTTTGTAAGTAATGTACCTTTCATTCGTTATATATTATACAGATAGATATATTGCCACATAGAGAGGGTACTTGCCAAAATTGCACAATTGCACACAATTTTTTTTTTCGAGACGATGGTTCATACTTCATACCTATTTTAGGATCCGATAGGCTTCGCTGTAGTCAATCTGATAACAAATTTTATATTTATATACCAAAATGACTCGTTCACATTAAATTGTGTTCGGTGGTTAGTAGATATATATAGTTATATATTATATACTATAATACAGTATATGAATTATGAATGCAGTGTGTCGGAACGGCTGACTTGTCCGTCTCACTTCTTTGGCATGCATTGAACGATTATTACATTGTGAGTTGCTATCATAAACACATAGAACGGTATTATACGGATGGGATTCATGCCAGGAAAGCATTTATGGCACTTCATGAATATACACGAGCATATTGGAAATTTCAATCGATATTGTTTTGTTTAAAAAAAAAAATAGGTACTAAGAATAGAATTTACAAACATTTTCAAACAGAGAAGGTTAAACTAGGTATTTCACGTCGCTATTAACAATAACTGGCTACGGGGTATGTAGCCGAATAACTTCGAGTTTCGAGTCAATTCCTACAACACCCGCGGATGGTACCCCTTATTAAATACTTATTACACCCTCACTATATTCGTTCATTTCTATTCATTATAATTATTCAATGCATGTTTTCATTTAATAGTAATCACAGTTAAAGAAACAAATACATTTAATACAGTCGGTCCTATGTATATATTACGTATATATACAATATATATTACGTTTATGATGTAACTGCAAAACTACAAAATCTTAAGAATTTGAAATACTTCAATTACCTTGCATAACGTTACTGTAACGGATTTGAAAAAAAACTGGTTATTAAAAGCACAAGTTTCTGAATGAAGTGAAGACTTCGTCGTCACTAGTTACTAGAACTTAGTCTTAAAGCTAAACATGTATTGTATGTGTTTAAGGGCTAAATATGAATTGTTTAGCCTTGATACTAAGTTCTTAATCTTTTCCTGAAGGTTTAGAAGGAAAGTCTTCATCTCACAGTCTCTAATTCTATATATACTGGATATCTTACCATTTAAACACAAGCTTACCGGCTAGAATAAGCAAGTGCCAAATGGACTTTTAGCCAGAAAACTAGTCGTTAACACCTAGGGCTGATCTTACTTCCCTTCCTGGTTTCAGATACAATTTAATATGTGTTACTGTTAAGTTATGAAGTGAATTATAAAATGAGCCCACTACGAGTCATCGTTGCATATACCGCAATTTGGACCTTCCAAGGTCGGTAGTACGACGATACGACATAGCGAAAGTGTGAGACGCAACAGAAACGCATTTCGTAGATTGCGACGTAATTTTATTAGACGGCTAGCTGTTCCCCGCGACTTCGCCCGCGTGTAATTTAGGATTTTAATTTTTGTGCGCGGAATCCTAATTATTTTTCTAAAATTAAAGTAGCCTAAGTTACTCCTCATAACATCAGCTATCTGCCAGAGAGAGTCCCATCAAAATCGGTCCAGTTATTTCGGAGATTAGCCGGAACAAACGTCTGCCTCTTTTAATTAATGTAAAAAAATTTATAAATTGTGTTTTTGTTATATGTATCGTATATACTTTCATGTGCATTTAGTAAAAAGCTGTTATTTTGACATTACAAACAGACACTTTAACCTCTCAGACCTTGACATTTTATTGGACATATTTAGTTAGAACTATGGTCAAGCCAAAGAGTATAGTAGGTCAGGCCAGACGATTTTTTAAAAAAATGGTAAAAATAACTTAGAGTCATTACTATGTTCATATCCAAAAATAAAAAATTATCAACAATTAAAATATCGAATTATTTATATGAAGGTCAAGTGAGCGCTAGAGTGACGACGATTGCAAGACGATTTGTCGATAAATGAAATGTTTCGAGAAATTATCAATTACTGTGTAGTGGCGGTGTATGAATATTCATACTATTCCGTGGGTTTCGTAAGAGGCGACTGATCCACTGTTCAATACAACAAGGTACGTGTACCGTGGAACAGAACGTGGCAACTATGACAAGTATACCCTCTATGAGGAATATAGTGGAGGCCTATGTTCATTGGGGGTTTTTATAGGATGTAACGGTCCATCACCAGCAGTGGAATGAAACTGTAAGGAGAGGGAGGGATTAATTTTATTATTTAAAAAAATATTTTTGTGTTTTTTTTTTTATAGAAGAGGGGGCAAACGAGCATGCGGCTCACCTGATGGTAAGTGACTACCGCCGCCCATGAACAACCGCAACACCAGGGGAATTGCAGATGCGTTGCCGGCCGTTTAGAAAGGTGTAAGCTCTTTTCTTGAAGGTCCCTAAGTCGTATCGGTCCGGAAAATCCGCCGGTGGTAAACAATTATGTGTAAAAAAGTCATCAAACAGCATCAAACAATTTATTAAACAAAAGTTGCGTAAACAAGTTCAATGGTTAAAACAATATTAATTTATATATACCTACGTTCTCACACCGCACACAGAACAAAAGTTTTTAGAGCAAGAAAACATAGAATTATTAGACCATCCGCCGTACAGCCCTGACCTAAGCCCTAATGATTTCTATACTTTCCCTAAAATGAAGAATAAATTGCGTGGACAGAGATTTTCATCACCTGAAGAAGCTGTGGACGCCTACAAAACGGCTATTTTGGAGACCCCAACTTTCGAATGGAATGGTTGCTTCAATGATTGGTTCCATCTTATGGAAAAATGTGTCAAATTTCGCGGAGAATACTTCGACGAAATTTTCAGTGCCACCCTCGTAGTACCAGTTACTCGACTTCATTGAGTCACTAATTCATTCTTGGGGCAATGTATACGCTTTTACAACAAAATTCCAGAAAATATACAAAGTTTGACCTGCTCAAAGTTCAAAAACTTTATTAAACTAAGTTTGTATAAAAAGGGTTATTATAATTTTTAATAATTAAGGAATTTATGGATGATAATAACCCCTGGAAATGAGGTGATCGCTACCAAGCTATTTCTAATTTGTTGTGTTGTTAATTTGTGTATGTATTATGTTAATAATAAATATTATGTTATGTGATTGTAAGCTGTTATTTAAAAAAAAAAGTCCCGCTGGGTTTCTTGCTGGTTCTTCCCAGGACAGAGGTTTTTTCCGAACCAGTAGTAATCAAACAAAAGAGTGACTTTCAATAAATATTATTTATAATCTATATTGAATAAAAAAGTTTCTGTTTCTGTTTCAATCAAACTTGAACAGCTTCCCATATTATGTAGGTATAATATATTCGAAAGGGTCAGCTATAACAAATGCTGCCTTGCAGTATCGATCACTAATAAAAAATATTAGTGATCGATACTGCAAGGCTACTAATTCGTGAAAGAAAACAACTTTGTTATTTAACACTACACACCTTTCTTTAATTTTTTTACACACATTACACTCATTACATAAATACTTCTTACAGTCATGCATTACACATCTTAAGAGAGAGGAACGACATTGTTCATATTAATTATTATCTTGTTTGTACCTTAGTATAAGTGATACTTAGTGATCTATTAAATTTAATTGCACCTAAGTTATGTTAGCAAAAAGTTCAAACTCTTTACATGATATTTTATTAATTAATATTTGCTTGCATTCTAATATTTACGAGTATTTAGATTAACCGTGGGGATATGGCGCTGAAAGCTGATGCACAGATCTCTTAGTTTGGCTGCAGATTCTATGTTTCAGACTTTCAGATATATGTACTAAATTAGCTTTATTAAGTGTTAATTAAATATCTGGTCGTACTTACTACCTTTTGTAAATAAAAACTTATTATTACTATTATAACTTGATAAGAACTGGCGCTTAAACGAGATAGTTATACTGTCGGAAGCCATAAGCTCTTTTTGACATATCCCATTGTCGCCTCATACGACATCCACGGGATGAAATGGGCTGATTGATTCTTTTACAATTTCTACTAAGGTGCCTACGTAAAATATTATTTTTCTGGCCTGGATAAATTCTGATTTTGCCACATAAAGTTATAATTATGCTAGTTTGAGCTTTTTTTGCATACTTATTTCGTCAGTAAGATATAATATTAACGTCATTATTTTTTCTTACTATCTTTTCCTTTATCTACTTATCTAAATCCAGTTGTATTTATAATCTTCTTCAAAATGCCCAACTATTTACTTTAACTAATTACGCGTAGTTTGTTTGGCTAGTGCAGAATTTTGAAACTATCCCGACTGATGTTAACCGATCTGTGGAATTTGGACATTTTAGAATAAACTAACTGCACTTTGTCGGTTGCCAAATCTTAGATTATTATTCATTACCCGTAAGTAACCGACTTTAATATATAGAGTTATTTTGCAATTTCAAATCGGCCAAATTTGCAGAGAAGGTTCAGAATAAGTAATATAGGGAAATGGTTAAGAAAAAATAATTAAAAGAAATCTCAAACATTCTGCCCTTTTTATCTTTTAAAAACGCGTGGTAATGTTTTAATTTAATTGATTTTAATACGCACGCACACATTTGTAAGCGTCGATCTGTAGGCAAAAACGTTGTTACCATAAATCACATTCAATTTGGGATAATTTCAAATAGAAGTAGAAGCCTTATTTACTCGTAATTTCCAAAACTGCAATAACGGTATATCATTATTCATATATTTGAACCTAAGTTAAAAATTTGCCTACTCTGAAAAATACCCCTGAATATAAAATGAGAACATCATCAAGGTTAATTAAATACGCATTATTGATGATAACTTAAAAACTACTAGTCAGATCTGGATCAAATTTATTTTGGACCACATGAAAAGCACCAGCTTTCAAATAAAAAAAATAATTATCAAAATAGATTCACTTAGAAAAATGTTTTGAGGTAGTGCACATAAAAAACAGTCGAATTATGTTGTTTGATACTGGTACGAGTAAGTAATATGATATTTTATAATTAGTTTCTTTGCAAATCTTAATGCAAATGAAACAATATTCATTGAACAAAAAGTAATTGGAATGCTAACAGAAAGACTTCAACAACTTTACTTGTTTTTAATATTCATCTTACAATACAACTTCTAGAATGGTATCTACTTATTTAGCTATAGACAATAACGATTGCTTACCAATGAATAATTATTGGTAAGTATTCATTATTGTTTATCTATCATCGGTCTCCTATGCAGCACATTTTTACATATCTATACAGTGTACTGTGCAAAATTGCAGCATTATGTTGCTGTGTAACAAATAGTAACTAACGATAATCGGAAACCTTTTAACTGATCGTGACCGAGACATTCAGTTTAGTCCTCAGAGGAGACAAAGCACTTGCGGAGGCAGGTGTCTGTAAGCCACAGCATCTACATATCGTCTGGTGGACTGTGCTCGTTGTAATCCTATGTGGTCCTATACGTGGTAGAGCCATGCTGCAGCTATATTAATAGTTTAGTTGTAGCACGAATGGGTCGGCTCGACCGGGGAAGGACCACGCTCTCACAGAATACCAGCGTAAAATAGCAGCTTAACGCTGCTGTGTTTCGTATGGTAAGTGTAGAGAACCGGAGACCCTTTTTACTGGAAACGAGGCATTCCATCTTAGTCCTCACGGGTGACAACGCATCTGCATTTTGATTCTTTATTGAGGATAGATGTGGATGTCTATGGGGTCACAGCAATCACTTACCATCAGGTAGACTGTGTGCTCGTTTGTCACCCTATTCTATGAAAATAAACATATATATATATATATATATATATATATATATATATATATATATATATATATATATATTATTATTATCATATAATGTTTAAAAGGACAGTTTAACGCATAAACTGATTTTCAACTTCAAATAACAAATCACGTACTTAAATTGATACATATATCCACACGATTCTCCCAATGTAAACATGACGCAATTACCAGCCATGGCCAATGGACTGCGTAATCTAGCGGAGGATTTTAGGCGTGACCTCAATTTGGTGCCTCATTCCGAGGGTACATTAATTTTTTCCATTGTATTACTTAATCGATATATTAACCTGCAATTAAAAATAAGAGGTATATTATAATAGATGTACTATTTGAAATTTTATATAAGTAAAAAGTTTTTATGGCGGTTCTATGTAGCCTTTTTTGGTGGTATTAATGATCTATGATATCTCTGTTACGAACAAAACAAACCTATTGTAACTAATTTTATGCGATGGTATGACGTATACATATAGTGAGGCTTAAAACGATAACAAAGATTATGTTCACTGGACTCAATTTCGTAAGTAAGGTTTTTCGCTGCACCAAAGCAACCTGCCGAATTGAGGCATTTCTGGTACGAACTGTAGCAGTTGCTAAAGTTAAATCGTTTTGACTCCATTTTCCGCACTTACCAGATTTACGGACATACTGGTTTGGCATCTAGAAAACAAAAAAGTTACTTAGATATATCTTAAATAAGCAATAAAAGTAGTAGGTAATATGGCCATCTAACCTTCAAAAATTAGGGCCGTCAGTCCTAAAATATATAGGAGAGATGGCCCACCCTTAATTCTTTGAAATAAATCGACAACAGTACCGCTTTTAGAGGTTATATTATAAACAAGTATATGTTCTAAGTGGTACAGCTCAAAATACGGCAAAAAAATATTATGTCAAAAGTTTAATCACTAACCAGGCGTATTTAGTTTCTAATTAGCTGAAAGAATCAATAGGAAATTACTCACACGTTCTTATTTATTTTTTGCTGCAAACTTCAACACAGTGTCGCGAAAATGATGGCGGTGTCCGAACCATCTCTATATAGTATAAAACAAAGTCGGATCCCGCCGTCTGTTCGTTTACATCTTTTAAACTACGCAACGGATTTTCATGCGGTTTTCATCTATAGACAGAAACTCAAGTTTACATGTATAATACATACATATTAACATATTATGTAATCCTTCTGTCCGTGTGTATGTGACGGAAATCATAAACGGCTGAACCGATTTTGATAAATTTTGTGTGTGTGATTACGTTGATTAGAGAATGGTTTAGATTCACAGTTGGACCCGATAGGTGGTGTTCTTGTCGAGATCCAGAAATCATCCGTGCGAAGCCGGGGCGGATCGCTAGTAGATAAATAAATATGTGGCAAGCTGTCCGAAATACCAAACAACAAAAATACTGCTACTGCTATCTCTTGGCGAAAGTTGGAAATATTTCATTGGACCATCTCTCTATATGGCCATCTGCCCTCATATTACCCTATTATTAAATTTTATCCTTTATAATTTACCATAATATATTTATACATAAATTTTACCTTTTATGATCACAAATTCAGCAATATAAAATGATTAAAATACAAACGGGAAAATAAGTGAATCACTGATTTTTTTAAAAGTAGTGACATGTTTATGCAACTATGTCATCATATAGATTTGAAACTTGTCGGAATCCTAAAAAAAGAGCAACTTACTAGGCAATACCCTAATATATTATATTTTATTTCTAGAAACATGTAAATGGGTAAACTTGATCTAATTTAACAGCAATCCATGTAATCTACAATTATTACAAATGTCCCGAACAAATAAATGCAAATGAACAACACATTTGCTTAGTCGATTAGTCGTGTTCGTGTTTTGCTAATTTCGATCATTGTTTACGGCGTAAACATGCAAATCAAATTATTTACTTTTGTAATAACTTGAATTCGAGCTTATTTTTTTACACACTACAACCCGCTCGACCGACAGACTAATTTTCACTTGATAAAAAGTGGTGACTTAGCCTTTTTTTTATAGAATAAGGATGACAAACGAGCACAGAGTCCATCTGATGGTAAGTAAATAATGTGGCCCATAGACATCTACATCTATCCTCAATTAAGTATCAAAGTGCAGATGAATTGTTACCCCTGATGACTGAGATGGAATGCCTCGTTTCCAGTGAAAAGGGTTCCCGGTTCTCTACACTCACTATACGAAACACAGCATGCTGCTACTTGACGCTGGTATTCTGTAAAAGTGTGGTCCTACCTCGGTCGTGCTACAACCATAATAGAAGCCTAAAATAGAAAAGCGCACTGACTTAGCTGGACTAAAGTCTATTTATTTAGTCTATTATTAGAACATCGATTCTTGCAGCAACGTCATCAAAACGACTCCCAAGTGAACCATCGCAGAGCTAAGACGCTGCGCAATGGCAAACTGGTGGAAGAGAAGTGGGCGTCTGTTCAAGTGGGAGACGTCATACGGCTGGAGAACGACCAGTTCGTCGCCGCCGACATACTCCTGCTCAGCAGCTCTGAGCCCAACGGTCTGTGTTACATCGAGACTGCAGAGCTGGATGGGTAAGTTGTTGATCGAATTTGATTACAATATATTCTTATTGCAATTAATTATTAGAGTAACAAACAACCGTAACATATTATGTTGATCACCTAATCGTAATTACTAACTATGAACCAACCTTCCAAATCGGTAAAAAAATTATATACGTGCGTGTCACTTTTCAAAATTAAAATGAAATTTCCTGTACTAGTAATTCTGCTGCAGCTTTAACATTTTAAAATTAATTACTTTAAATAATGGAAATAAAGGAAGGTTTCAGTTACATTATATACCTAAGAAATGTTTTCAATTATATTAAACTATCTGTCAACAAACAAACATTGACTTTTATATTTTATACTACTAAAAACGATATGCAACATTCTTTTCAGTGTTTAGTGTAGATGCATATATTATACTCCAATATTATAAAAAAGTTTAAAAATTGAATAAAACTACTTTTACGGATTCTATCGCGTTTAATTAACTTATTTTTTATTGATTCCCGACGTTTTACTTTACAGCACCCATGGTTACGGGGGACTGAGGTGATTAACGTCCCTCATATAGGTCAAACAAAGCGATCTATCAAAACCCGCGTAAAAGAACACATGCTCACGTGAAACACCAACGTTCCGGGAAGTCTGAAGTTTGTGATCATATGCTAGACGGCGCCCGCCATTACATTAGATTTCATAAACCACAAATTCTCGCGAAAGAACATCGATTCCTGCCAAGGATGATATGTGAGGTTATTGAAATTAAAAAACATCCCAATTTCAATAAAGAGGGAGGCTGGGTACTACCACCTGCTTGGGATCCTGTAATTAATAAAATTAAAACTAAACCTAAGCATACCACTGCTAGTCTTCAAGACACAGTAAGTTCATTCTGCGTACAGCGGACCAAAATTAATAATTAAAAAAGTTGAAGTTACTCCAGGTTAACTCTGACATCGGGACGTCAATCACCTCATTCCCCCGTGACCATGGGTGCATTAAAGTACCCGAAACATCGGGAAACAATAAAAATCAAGTTAATTAAACGCGATAGAATCCGTAAAAGTAGTTTTATTCAATGTGTAGTGTTCGCGTAAATATAAGAAATGATAAAGTTTAAAAATAAAAATATATCGTTGCAAAGTAATAAACTAAATCATCATCATCATCATTATAACCTATCAAAAGTTCATTGCTGAACATAGGTTGCACACGCTTGGCACGCTTGGCAGGCAGGTTGGCAATCGCGGCTCTTTCTCCCACTCCCCTTTCATTTCCTTCTGTCGCCTCTTGCTCTACCCACAGCATTTTATGGCTGCCACAAAGCACTGCCCTCTAGTAAAATTCTTTACATTATATATTTCTTCTGTCCGTGTTTATGTGACTGAAGTCTTTTTAAACGGCTTGACCGATTTTGATGAAATTTTGTTGCGTAATTAAGTTGATTCTAGAATGAATTATATTCACAATTGGATCCGGTAGGTGGCGCTATTGTCGAGATCCGGAAATCAGCCGTGCGAAGCTGGGCCGGATTGCTAGTATACGTACACATAAAATTCCATTCTATCGGCTAACATTCAATGACAATTTATGACCAGCGATATAAATAAAAATCTTTTTCACACCTCCCAGCATAACTTAGCTAAGTTATGTTATGTTAATATGATACTAATTTTGCAGGGAGACGAATTTAAAATGTCGCCAATGTCTTCTGGAGACGGCGGCGATGGGCCAGGACGACGCACAACTAGGTGCTTTCGACGGCGAGATCGTCTGCGAAACGCCCAACAACTTACTTAATAAGTTTGAAGGTAACACCTTAAATCACAATATGTTATTAATTATTATTCTCTTCTTCTAAATAAGCCAGTAAACTTCTACTGCGGTATATAGCTAAACTGACCATTTAATTTTTCCCTCAAATCACTCAAGCACTTTAATTATTATGGTTTAATAAAAACAAAACATATTAATGGATTATTTAACTATTAAAATTGAAAATGAGAACTAATCTTATAAACTCTTCTGTAAATTAATATTAAAACAACAGCCTGTTATTTCTAAATTATATAGAAATAACAAGTTGTATTATTTTTATATATATAAAGATTAATTAATAAATTAATTGTCACTTCGTGTGACAGAGCTTGTACCTACGCTACTTCAAGTTTGTTTATTGAAGTGGGACATTTATACGTATTGTTACGAACTTGGGGTTCGAGACAATTAAAAACTGCCGATTAAATTACCAAAATTGACACTTTAATTACGGATACTAATTACAATCTAAAAACACACTAATAATAAAACACAGTTCGCCGTTATTTCGCTTCGAAGTATTCTCTTGTATCGCCAATTCAATACTGCCCCGGTCGTGGTCTATACCGGTCTTATATAGGGCCTCAGATAGTTTCCAGAACCTTCTACTGTAGCGACATCTAGAATGTTCGAGTACATATCGGTCCCGAAATTTCTGGAAGGATCTCGACTCTCCTAGTTCTGCTACTCGACACTAGAGGGCGCTATTGTGACTAGTGTTGCCATGTACAAGACATTAATAGTGGCGCGCAATACTTTCATTTACTCGACACTAGGGGGCGCTAGTGTAACTAGTGTTGCCATGTACAAGACATTAATAGTGGCGCGTAACACTGCCCCCTCCTAAGACATGCTCGTCCCGAGCATTATTGGCCCCATAATAACGCGCCAGTCGATCCACATGGACAATCTTAGGAGTACCTCTGGCACCTTTCTGTATCCGGTAGGTTACGTCATTGATCCTTGTCACAATCCGGTACGGTCCGTCCCATTTAGCTTGAAGCTTAGGAGATTTCCCTTTGCTGCGAACTGGATTGTGTAACCACACTAGAGAACCTTCATCAAACCCCTTGTTGTTCATTTTGCGGTCATACCGTGTTTTCATCTTCTCAGACGTTTGCTGGCCCGTCTGTCTGACGTGCTCATAAATGTCATTCATTTTGTTCCGCAAGTCATTTGCATAATCGGTTATACTGCGTGGGGCATCAGGTGGTATTCCGGTGATCAGGTCTGCAGGCAGCCGCAATTCTCTCCCAAAGTTTACGTAAGCTGGTGTCACTGATGTACTTTCGTGAACAGCGCTTCGATATGACAACAAAAACGGTTGTATGTGCCTATCCCAGTCTCGTTGTCGTTTTTCCACAACTTTTGCTAGGTACCTCTCCAATGTCTGATTAAATCTTTCTACCATTCCATCAGATTGTGGGTGGTAAGAAGTTGTTCGTGTTTTCTGAGTACCCATAACTCGGCAAGTTTCCTGGAATATTTGAGATTCAAAATTCCTTCCTTGATCGCTGTGAATCTCTAAAGGTACTCCAAAACGACAGAAGACTTCATGAACTAGTTTATCTGCAACGGTTGAAGCTTCTTGATTTGGAATGGCGAAGACTTCTGGCCACTTAGTGAAGTAATCCATCACGACCATGAAATACTTGTTACCACTTTCATTTTCTGGAAACGGCCCCGCAACGTCGATGGCTATCCTCTCCCATGGTGCACCAACATTGTACAATTTCAATGCGCCCCTACTACGAATTTGAGGTCCCTTTACAGCCGCACAACTTGTACATTTGCGGCACCAGTCCTGGACATCGTCACGACAGTGGACCCAGTAAAACCGCTCTCGGATCTTCAGGAGAGTTCGTTTAACTCCCAGGTGGCCTCCTGAACAACCACTATGGTACAGCTGTAGAATATCCGGCACTTTAGCCTTAGGGACAACCATTTGCAAATGACACCTGTCTCCCCGACCATTTTCCCATTTACGGCACAGGACTCCATCCTGAATCAGCAAGCTGTCCCATTGGGCCCAATAGCTTTTTGTGGTCGAACTCATTGCTGAGACGTCGCTCCACTTGGGCTTAGGAGCACTGGCCTTCATCCATTCCAGAATCGGCTTAATGTCCGAATCTTCCTGCTGTGCATGCTGTAGGCTGTCCTTCCACTCATTGCTGAGCTGGTCTGTCCTGAGCATTCTCACAGATACCACTTCCTTACCCTCTTGCCTAGTACAATGCTTGCAATCTTCAGGGCAAGGTCTTCTTGACAATGCATCTGCATTGCCATGAGATTTCCCGCTGCGATGTTCGATCACAAAGTCGTATTCCTGCAGTAGACTTTACCACAGCAAGCAATTCCCGTCTTGTGACACAATAGTTCCTTTCCGGCTTTGACAACGACTTGCTGAAGTACGCTATCACAATCTCTTGATCACCATTCCGTTGAGACAACACACCGCCAAGTCCTATATCACTTACGTCTGTGTCAACTATGAATTCCTTGCCCGCATCAGGGTACCCCAAAATAGGTGTTTTGCACAGGCGGTTCTTGAGCTCCTGGAATGCAATATCGCAACTTTCATCCCAGCAGAATTGTCGCTTCTCCTCGGTTAGCTTGTGCAGAGGTTTGGCTATATCTGCAAAGTTCTTCACAAATCGCCGATAATAAGAGCACAAACCCAAAAATGCTCTAACCTGTGTCTTGTCTTTTGGGACCGGCCACTCCTTGACAGCAGCAATTTTCTCTGGATCCGTGCGGATACCTTCTTCCGACACTACATACCCCAAAAAACTAACTTGCCGTTTGAATAGTGAGCACTTCTTTGGACTCAACTTGAGGTTGGCACTCTGGATCTTCATGAGCACGCGTTCCAGGTTTTGAAGGTGTTCCTCAAACGTACGGCCTACGATGATGATGTCATCCAAATAGACCAGACAGGCATCTCCAATTAGCCCGGTAAGTACAAGTTCCATCAATCTTTCAAACGTTGCTGGAGCATTGCACAATCCAAACGGCATAACTTTAAATTGCCACAGACCCTTTCCTGTGAAAAATGCAGTTTTCTCCTTGTCTTTAGGGTCAATTTCAACCTGCCAGTAGCCACTTTTCAGGTCCAGCGTACTAAACCACTTTACGCCTGTGAGCATGTCCAGCGTGTCATCAATTCTAGGCAAGGGATAGCTGTCCTTCTTCGTAACGTCGTTCAGGCGGCGGTAGTCAACACAAAACCGCATACTGCCGTCCTTCTTCTTTACCAGCACCACAGGTGAACACCATGGACTAGATGAAGGTTCAATAACACCATCCTTCACCATTCCCTCAATCATGGTTTCCACTTCCTTTTCACGTGCTACAGGCAATCTTCTTGGCCGCTGACGAATAGGCAATTCTTATCCTGTGTTTATTTTGTGTTGAACTAAGCCAGTCTTTCCTATGTCAGCTTCGTTTGACGAGAAAACATTGGCGTACTTGAGTAACAACTTCTTCGCCTTGACCATTTCATTCGGGGAGAGAACGCTGCGACAGTCTTCTAAAAGTGTGGTCACTCTCGTTTGTCCATCCTTGCTAGGGGTCCCGGTCGATAGATATTCGCACCGACGCAACCAATCCACTTCCTCACTAGTACCAACCAATGTGCCTTTTTCTATAATCTGTTCCTGATCACAAAGGTTCAACACACGTACTCCTGAGATGTCGGTGGTTCTGACCAAGGTTCGAGCCACTTTCCATGGAAGGTCATTGTCTACCCTTTCCACGAGTACACAACGATGAGGTTGCCCAGGACTCCGAGGAAGACTAACCGGCACAATCGTTTCCGATTTCGGCGGAAGAACAATCTTCTTAAGGCTGTACACATTCTCTGGTAACGCCCCTTCCATGAAAAGTTCTTCTTGTCCACATTTCAAAACACCTTGCTTAACGTCGATCTCACAACAATTCTTCCTCATAAAGTCTAGGCCCAGGATGCAGTCGTCCATTATATCAGCCACGATGACATTATGCAGGTAGATCATGTTGCCTAGCTTCAACTCCATCTCCTTCTCTCCACGGACGGGTATGCGCTGACCGGTGGCTGTCACCAAATTAATGCGTTCTCGGTTGTATGCGGAGTCACCAAGGAACCGACTTATAAGTTGGGAACTGACAACCGTGCGAGAGGCTCCAGTGTCTATGGTCAGTTTACATGGCGTTCCGTTGACTTCGCCCTTGATGATTAGGCTGTTCCCATCATGAGTTTGTGAGATCGAAATCCTTGGGGCTCTTTTAACATCAGCCAGCACCCGCCAGTTTCCCTGCTGCTGCTGGGCGGTGCTATTATCCGCACTACCCTCTCGAGATCGATTACCTTCCCTTCCTACAGTTCGCTTAGGGCAGCTGGATCGAAGATGGCCCCTTTCTCCACAGCCGTAGCACCTAGGGCTGTAGCTTTTATTGTGGTCCTGAACTTTAGCTGTTGCAACCTCCCTGACGCGGTGGGAACGATGATCCTGCCGCACGGCTTCCACCTGCAGTGCATGGGTCAAGGCGTCCTTAAGCGTCTCGTGGTGCCCGAGCCTCACAGCAGCTCTGACTTCAAGGTCACGGATGCCGTCGATGAATGTCTGCACCAGGTTCCCTACAATAAGCGCAGGTACAGACTGGTACGCTTTTCGAACCAGCTTCTCCACCTCAAGGGCCCACTGCTGCAGGTTTTCGTTACTGCGTTGCACGCGATCTTTGAGCTGCGCACGAAAGACGTGTTCCAGGTGAGCGTCGCCATATCTCGCCTCCAATGCCTCAAGGAGCTGCTCGTAAGTCACTTCCTTACCGAGAGCTTCCAGAACAGTTAATGCCTGGTCGTGCAGGCCTAGGGTGAGAGCAGTCATGGCCTGACTTTTATTCCAGCCGTTCGCTTTCATGACAGCCTCGAACTGGATTTTATAGGCCGACCAGGAAGAAGTCCCGTCGAACGGCGGCACTTTGAATCCACGTAGCGAAGGTGTTGTAGCTACCA